CTCATAGTAGAATTTCATTTTGTGCTACCCGAATTCCCTGAAATGCTCGCCAGTTAGTTTCGGTAACAACCAGAACTCAAATATCAAATTTCAAGAAATTCCATCAATTCGTTCGTAGATATGGGGAAAAATGTAAAATCAGCCCGCAGATAAGTTTTCGACCCCTGATCTTTCCAAAAAATTTATATTTCATTGTTTTAGTACGAACAATTTAAATATTAAATTTCAATGAAATCGGTTGATTATTTCTCTTTATATACGCAAAAATGTATTTTCGGTCCGTAGTAAACGTCCAGTTGCTGATGCCTGATTTCTTCCAAAAGTTAAGAGGTTTCGCGGACGATTGAGCAAAGCTTATATATGAAATTTCAAGGAAATCGGTTGAATATTTTCTTCAAAATGGTCAAAAATGTAAAACAGGCCCGCTAAAAAGTGCAGTTCCCGAAGCCTGATATATCCCGAAAAATTATCAATCCGTGCCATGGTCGAAATAAATTTATATATAAAATTTCATCAAAATCGGTTCAGTCGAACTTGAGATACACGCGTACACACACACAGACCAACAGACTGACAAACCGACAAACCTCTCTAAAAATAGATATTAAATTTTCCGGACCTTAAAATCAAAAAGGTTTTTTTTTTTCGGGGTCCAAAATAAATATAAAAACAGAAAACATAAAACGTAAAAAAAAATTAAAAAAAAATTTAAACTTTAATATGTTGAGGATTTTAAAAAAATTTTTAAATAATTTTAAAAATTATGTTGATGAATTTGATGCTAATGATGTTGATCATTTTGTCCTTCATTTATTTTCATTTCATTTTTTTTTAGGACTCTTCAAAAATTTTGAAAATAAGTGCATATAGTTTCTGTCTCTCCGTGTACCCGTTTGCAAAACTTCGATACCCTTGAAGAAAGAAAGCTGAAATTTCATAATATATAAATGAATCTTTACTGGAAACTTACTTCCGTTAGAGAAAAATTTTAGCTATCGCCTTTTCCTTTAAGAGTAATAAAACCTCAAAGGGCCATTTTAAAGAAACTATAAACATTCAAATGCAAAAAAGTTGCGTCTGGCATTTTTTATAAATAACTGAATATTAAAAATAAATGTGCTAGAATTAAACGTTATCTGAAGCCCGTTCCTTTTCAAGTTTTTGATATCAGTTTTCTTCTATAAAATAGGTTGTAGAAGTCTGAAACTTTTCTAGCTTTTACATACTAATAAAAGATTTTTTCCAACTCCAACCCCTATCAAGTTTTCGCCTCACAAATACATATATAAAAGTCACATTTTTAGCAGTTTTTTCAAATTTCTATAAGTGAAAGCTGACAATAAATGACGTAATAAATCCCTGGATGAGAGCATTATATTAACGGCTCCATTTTCATTTTAAAGCAGCATTCGCACAACAAAATTTTTGAAGCACTCAATATAACATGTTTGAACCTTTTTAAATAATTATTTAAAAAAAATTGATTGGAAGTAGGTACATACATATTTATTTTTAATAACCTAAAAACTAACTGAAATTATTTGAAACAATTTTATAAGTAACGTATAAATAACCGAAATGAGATAATTCAAATTGTTGAAATTTGTCAACGTATATTACTTTTACTAACATTTTTGTTAGCCGACACTACTCAACTTACCTTTTTGGGAAATACAAAATGTGCATGAAAAAACATACATCCTTCCTCATTAACATTTGAAACCATACTGAAATATGAATTTCAAATTTTTTATCATTTTTTCTTTCCTCCTACCTTTCTTTCTTTTTCGTGCAATAGAATTTAAATGGGAAGCTTTTTAAAAAATGTGTATGATATCCTGAGATTTTTTAAAATAATGTCTTTATATCTAACAAGTCCCAATGCTCAGTGAGAAACTTGAAAGCACGACCTTATTTGATATGGGTTTTTTAAATCGAAGTGGCTATTTTTTGAGAAGAAATATTAAAATAAATTCACACTTATTATAAAGCAGGTAAAATTTAGAAAATATATTTGAAAAATCAAAAAAATATATTAATATTTTCATTGATAATTATTTTAAAATTTAAAAAAAAAGCGGAAAAACAACTGAAAGCGTTTCATTATTTTTAAGTGAACAGCTTTTTTTTTCTCATAGGGTAAGTTAACTCAAGATATGGGGAGTAACTGTGGTGTCAAGTTGAAAATATAATTAATGAAAGATAATTCTTAAATATTGATATAAATACATAGTAAAGAAAAAATTTGAAGAGGGAATTAGAAAATAATAACTAAAATACAATCAAATATTATTTGTTAAATACAAATTTTATATAAACTTCAAAATTTTACCTCTATTTTTATTTGAAAAAATATTAAAAACTTACTATCATTTATATCAATTACCTAAGAAAAAAAAATATTTAAAATCTTTGGAAAAAACAATCATATATTTTTATGACCGGATTTGAATATTTTTTTATTTTTGAAATAAATGGTATTTTATCAAATGACTCAAAAATTCCGACTGTAAAATAGCAGGTATTTTAAAATTTTTGTTCTTTATGTAATATTCTTTCCGTTTAGAATTAAGATAGGTCATACATACACATGCAGGGACATTTTATAAATAGATTGCTCTTGTTTACCTGCTAATAAAATATGAAAAAAGAGCACAGCAAAATTTTTGAAGCGCTCAATATAACATGTTTTAAATAGTTTTAAACTAATTATTTAAAAAAAAATTTATTGGAAGTAGGTACATACATATTTATTTTTAATAACTTAAAAACTAACTGAAATTATTTGAAACAATTTTATAAGTAACGTATAAATAACCGAAATGAGATAATTCAAATTGTTGAAATGTGTCAACCTATATTACTTTTAATAACATTTTTGTTAGCCGACACTACTCAACTTACCTTATTGGGAAATACAAAATGTGCATAAAAAATCATACATCCTTCCTCATTAACATTTGAAACCATACTGAAATATGAATTTGAATTTTTTTTTCATTTTTTCTTTCCTCCTATCCTACCTTTCTTTCTTTTTCGTGCAATAGAATTTAAATGGGAAGCTTTTTAAAAAATGTGTATAATATCCTGAGATTTTTTAAAATATTAAACTCTTTTTTACTTAAAAAAAAGAAAAAAATAATAAAAAATATCACACGATCAGTGGCATTTAAAGAAAAAACCAGCAACGAAGCCAAAAATTCGTAATATTTCGTAAAAAAAATTGAGTATTGGGACTCGTTAGATATAAAGACATTAAAGTACGGTATTAATACAATAAAAAAAGATATAAGTACGTAATTCTTTTCTTTTTCAATCTACTTCTTTCAGCTTTCTTTTTTCAAGGGTATTTCAAGTTTTTAAGGTATTTAAGTTCAACTTCTTCAAGTGTTGCAAACGGGTACACGGAGAGAGAGAAACTATAAGCACTTATTTTCAAAATTTTTAAAGAGTCCAAAAAAAAATTAAATGAAAATAAATGAAAGGCAAAATTATCAACATCATTAGCATCAAATTCATCAACATAATTTTTAGAATTATTTAAAATTTTTTTTAAAATCCTCAACATATTAAAGTTTAAATTTTTTTTTAATTTTTTTTTACGTTTTATGTTTTCTGTTTTTATGTTTATTTTGTACCCAAAAGGAAAAAAAAAACCTTTTTGATTTTAAGGTACGAAAAATTTAATTTCGGTGTGTGTAGCATCTACCCAAAAAATATTTCAACTCAGTATTTCTTACTTATTCTGAAAGACCAAATTAAAATATTGTACGTATACTATATTTTATCAAACACAAACTAATCTTGCTTTAAAAGTCCGGTCCTGGTAAAATTATGTCATTCGAAATCATTTTAATTTACATTTAAAACACATGGTTTCTTTGCAAATTAAAAACTTAATAAAAATACAAATTATAAATTAATCAAAGCGATATTGAATAAATATTTTTTGTAATTATTGTAAGGAATAATATTCACATGTATATGTTGCAATAAAACTATTTGTTTTTACAAATGGAAGTGACAGTTTAGAATTATATACATATATACCTTTTTCTTTTTCAACAGATTCTCTCCCTTGTTACATTTTTTTTATAAGTTTTTATAAAATACGAGTAGTATTCTTTTCTTAACACTTAATTTTTTATTTACAAACTGCACTTATTTTATAAACAAAATCTTCTTTGTTGCTTTTTATATAGCGGCGCGTAATTTTCTAAGAAAAAAAAAACAATATTTAGCATTTAATGTTAAATAGGTAATGTAAAGGGACTTACCTGAAGTTTTTGGCTTCACTATGTTTTTTTTTGAAAAAAATGAGAACTGGACTAGAACCAGTGGCCTACGGTTTCTTGTCAAAAATTCATTTATATATAAATCTTTTTACGCATTTTTAGATACTTTAAAACATAAAAGGACGCTGATTTTTTTTCCTCCATACAAACTCCATAAATTTTGTTTTAAAATCATAAGGTTGTGTCGTTTGGCTCCGATTCGAAAGTTTATGTCTCCGACTCCTCCTTTTGTATTTTGGCTCTGATTTTGCTTTTTCTTCAGTCAAAACCATGTATTTAATAATACACGCATAGCTAGTGCTAATATATTTCTTAATTAAAAATTAAACCAACTCCCATATAATTGCATTGTACTTTTAACTTTACATCAAATTTTATGTTTTTGCAAATTTTAGCATTACCATTGTGTCTTGTTTTCAACGCAATCAAATTGTAGGCTATTTTAGGTTATTATTTAAATTTGCGTTTTCGTAAAGGTGACAAATATTTAAATTTAGGTTTTTTTTCGAATATTACGAAGAAAGTTCAGAAAAATTAAATATTATTTTGTGGTAAAATCATGAAGTTGGCTTTACCAGTAAACAAATTTTTTAAAAATATTTATTTTACTAGGAAGAAATATACATATTAACTTTTTTTGAATTGTGAACACAAATTTAAAAATAATAAAACATTTTTTAAAACATTTTTTCACATTTTTTGCAGTTCAATATTTTGCTTTCCATAATTTTGAAGTTGTCTATTGTTATACATATATTTCATTTCTTAAATTCTACCTGTTAATTATACAAATATTTAAAAAATATTTAACTACAATGACAATTCGTTCCGAATATTATTGCTTATGTGTGTATATTAATAATATTATTGCTTATATTCGTAATTTTCCGAGTTTCATTCGTAGAATTGCAATTCGGAAAATTACGAATATCATATTATCAATTACGAATTATTAAAATTCTGCTCTGAATATTCGTAATGGAGAAATCATAAATTACGTTACCTTCAACAACCTATGAAAGAAATAAACAATCGTAAAAAGGAATTTAAAATTATATTAAATTATTAAATTTTGAATTTTTTTGTTTGAGTTTGAGTTACTCTAACACAGCTATAATGAAAGGAAATGAATTGCTATTACCAAAAATTTTATTTGCCGAGTTTTCAAAAATATTCAAAAAGAAAATGCAACTTTCTTACAAAAGAATATTTAAACAAAAAGTTCTATTACCTGAATATTTTAGACAATATCCTTTTGTAGAAAGTTGTTCACTGAAATAGAAAAAAAAGGAGGAATATACATTTGATAGTTGAAATAAAATACTGATTTTGGCAACCCGAAAACCTATACTGCCATTGGTGGTTTATAATCTCTACGAAAGGAATTTGTGATCATTCAAAAGCCTACGTCGTAGTTATGTTCGTAATTCGAAGGGTTCTAAGAGTGGAATTCATGACAGCTGAAAGTAATTATTATTAAAAATACTAAGTATTAATTTTGAAAAAATAATATTGTATATGTTTAAAATAAAATATTATTGCATATACATATGTGTATTGTTGAAAAATTATAAATTTTTTGCTGAAGAAATAACTCACATAAATTTCTAACTAACGTATATTCATATTTGATGTTGGCTTCAAAAATTATTATTTGCAAGTTGTATACAACGTATTATTAGATCCATGTGCTTAAATAACAATCATGATTGAATATTTACGTTTACATTTTAAATTCAAAAATCTAAAACTACAATTCCACTGTCAAATGGTAAATTGCAAAGAAAAAATTAAAACAGCTGATTACGGTACATTTTATTCAACAACTTATATTTACGCCATTTTCATACCCGTACGAACGTATGTTCGAAGGGAATGCTTAATTTGGCCTACCGTTTCAAATGCTAAGAAATTATGGTCTTAGATAAAGACTCAAATGTGTTTTTGATCAGTGTCGAATTCTCAGTCGATTTAGCTTTGTATGTCCGTCCGTCCGTCCCAACGGTAACTCAAAAACTAATTCAGCTAAGTTTACCAAATTTTTACAAATGATTTATTGTAGTAAATACCAGAACCCTATTGAAATTCGATATAAGCGGGGCACTGGTTCGGGTAACTGCCATGCAACTTCAAAAGTTATTTGGCTATATCTCAGAAACTATAAATTGAAATTTCAATTTGATTGAATGCTATGATATTGAAATTTCACAAAAGCGAATATATTAGTTGGGCCAATGTGTTTGCTAAAATTCATTGAAATCGCTTGCCTCTTTCTAGTAGCTGCCCTACAACTACAATGGTTTGGCCATATTTTAGAAAATATTGAAAACACAATGCTGAAATTTTGCATAAATGAATATGGTAACTTAAAGTTATAGTCTGTCACATAGTCAGCTATGATATATTAATTCGCACATAGGGTATCACACAGTTGACATATTCAACTCTATTTTTTCGCTTTTATTTTATTATTGTCAAAAGCGATTGACGAAAATATAAAATATTTCTACTTTTCCGTCAACCAAAGTGTGATCAAAATAGTTGATTGACGATGACGCATGGTCAATCTTCATCAATCTCAATCTTTGATTGGCATGTAATTTCTGACTTAAGATTTTGTATTAAAAAAATTTTGAAAAATGAAATGGCATTGGGTTTATAACTTTAATTTATAATTTTCTAAATTAATATATTGAATATGCTGCGTAGACATGTACATACTTATGCATGCACAGGCAAATGTACGTACATTCATTTAAAAAATTAATTGGTTGTCGAAATACATATTATATACATATATAAATTGTACATGCATTTTATATTATAATTGATTCATCAATGCTTCTGGAATACCATATTCACCACTAGGTCCTAAACCAATTTTATTTTTTACTTCTGTCATAGTTTGCTCAGCTATAGTACTTGCTTTTTCTCTTCCTTCTTCCAAGCAACATATTAAATACTCCTTATTTTTTAAATAATATTCTATTTTATTTCGAATTGGACTTAAATGCTCTATTATTGCTTCGGCCACTTGAAATTTATATTTTCCAGTATCTAAAAATTTAACTTCAGCACAAATATCTTCTATAGATTTTCCCGTCATAAGCGAATGTATTGTTAAAAGATTGCTTACGCCTGGACGATTTTCTATGTCAAACGTTACTTCTGAAGTAAAATCTGTAACAGCTTTTTTAATTTTTCGCAAAATTTGATCTGAACTGTCCGTTAAATATATTGATCCCTTCTGATCTGGATCTGATTTTGACATCTTTTTGTCAAGACTACGAAGAGAAAGTATTCGAGATGCTTGTCGATTATCGATTAATGCATGACAATAGGGAAACGTTGTACCATATTTGAAATTAAATGATTTCGCCAAATGTTGACATAACTGTATATGCTGGACTTGGTCTTCACCTACTGGAACATGCGTTGCTCTAAAATTTAGAGCGTTAATGCGATATGAAAATTTCTTGTACATATATATATTTAAAATACACATATATCCAAAAAAATATATATAACCGAAATACTCACTTGAAAAGCATGATATCTGCTGCTTGAAGTACTGGATAAACAAAAAGACCCAATGGGATTTCTTTCATTTTTTGGGTTTTCTCTTTATATTGTGGTAAATGAGCCAAACGCGCCATTGTAGACAAGCAACTGAGAATCCAATTTAACTCAGCATGTTCTTTTACAGTTGATTGCACATAAATTGTTGATAACTTCGGGTCAAGGTCACAAGCCAACATAGTTGCAGTTAGATTCAAAATATTTTGTCTAAGGGCAGATGCTTCAATGGGAATTGTTATTGAGTGCAAATCTACAATGCAAAATGTTGCACTCTCCTTTTGGTCTTGCAGTTCCTTCCACTTCCTGATTGCACCAAGATAGTTACCAATATGAATTGCGCCAGTTGGCTGAATGCCGGAAAAGACTTTCCTTGGCCAAACTATTTCGTTGATTTCAAACTTTTTGGACGCATCAGTTGGAGACTAAAGCAAATAAATACTAAAAGAAATAGTTTTAAATTGGATTTTTATTATGGCAGGACATACTTTAAGGTGACTAGAATTATGCTGATTTCCTCCAAAATTTCTCTTCAGTAAAAAATTTTTTTTTGAAAAATGCAAATTTTTGGAGTATGACCTTAATACTTTCATTTTTAATTGGTTAATTTTTATATTTTTTGTTTTTATGTGTTATTGAGACACCATTTAATGTAAATACTTTTTTTTTTAAAGTACAAACAAACTTCAACTTAAACCTACTGATGGGAACTATTACATATTTACTATCGAATAATTCGAATTGTTACGAAAAATTTATTCATTTTAGATATTCGAATGGTAAAATAGAACTTATTCGATATATTCAAGGGGGCTTTTTCTATCGAACATTTTCGATTTTCCTTTTAAAAAAAAGATTTTTTTTCTTAAATATTTTTGGTTTTCTTGTAATTTAGTAACATAATTACGATAATCAACATGTAAACATCATAAGGAAATAATAGTTGCCATCTCAAATTGGCAATATTTTTGGAGGCTAAATGCAAATGAAAGTAACACCTTTCTAAAAGGCGCTTGGCATTAACAGTTTTTTTTCATTAGTTGCATAACTATGTTCCCAATCCCTCGAAAACCGTGTACCGCGTTTACCTACTTTTTATGCGATAATTCGTTGTTATTCGGACGCATACTCAATTTGATACACAAATATATATACACAAGTATAAAGTCTTTATCAAAGTATATCTACTAACAAGTAGTTCGACTCTTCGTTTACATCACACTAATGCAATCACTCACCAATTTTTGTATACAAAAAAATCCCTTAGTTAAAAGAGTTAAGCAGTATACTTTCTTATTTTCATTTTTATACACATAAGAATTTTTGGGAGAGGGAAAGAGTACGCAATAGATGTCAACCTGTTTTTTTATAATGAAATTTTGAAAGGGGACACTTTATTATTTGTTCCTATATAAAGTATAGGGAAAAATATTAAGAATTTTAAAGGCGACACAATAATTTCTGTAATTCATTCCAGTACAAGGTGGCAAAAAATGTGTATTATATTATAAAAGCGAAGAAGAAAAAAAGTGTTTAAAAAAATTATTATAATTTATATAATATAATTTTTACAAATAATAAAAATGAATTTTGAAAAGACGTACAATAGTAAAAAAAAAATTAAATAGTTGTGAAAAAAATATTTTTTTTATAAAAATGGGTAAACATTATTTGAAGTGTTTGGGATGAAAAAAAGTCGACACGAAAATTTCATTTGTTGCCGAAAGATGTGAAGAGGTAAATATGTACTTTTGAAAATATTTTAAATATTTAGTGTTAGGCATTTGTAATTAATAAATAAAATAAATAAATTATCTTTAAATTTTTTATTTTTATTTCAATCTTATTAAATTTAGAACATATTTGCCATGAATAATATATTTCCCGGTAATAATTATATTTCATAAAGTAATCAGCACCTTTTTTCTTTATAAATTACTTTATTTCTATGTCACTACCTGATACTGCGTATCTACTGTACCAGGTACATGCATGTGTACATTCATACATGAAATTTCAAACTCTTTTGCTTTCATACATTTGAAATTTTTACCTAAGTTTTATAAAATGAAAAATAAATTTTGTTATTATCAAAATAAAAATAACAAAATTTTTACCTAACTTAATTTAATTTTATTTTAGTTCAATGTTTTTGATACACTCGTTTGTTTACAATATTTTGTTTCTTTCTTGCCTACACAACTCTTATTACCATCTATTTCTGCAAAAAAATGGAATATTTTAAGAATTTGGAAGCAAGATGCAAACGAAAACTAACGGAATGGAACGAGTCGAATTACTTATTAGTGAATATACTTTGGTCTTTATATCTAACAAGTCCCAATGCTCAGAGAGAAACTTGAAAGCACGACCTTATTTGATATGGGTTTTTTTAAATTGAGTGACTATTTTTTGAGAAGAAATATTAAAATAAATTCACACTTATTATAAAGCAGGTAAAATTTAGAAAATATATTTGAAAAATCAAAAAAATATATTAATATTTTTATTCACAATTATTTTAAAATTCTTGAAACAGCGGAAAAACAACAAGCACAACCTTCAACGTTTTACATGTTACTTCATTATTTTTAAGTGAACAGCTTTTTTTTCTCATAGGGTAAGTTAACTCAAGATATGGCAAGTAACTGTGGTGTCAAGTTGAAAATATAATTAATGAAAGATAATTATTCAATATTGATATAAATAAATAGTAAAGAAAAAATTTTAAGAGGGAATGGGAAAATAATATCTAAAATACAATCAAATATTATTTGTTAAATACAAATTTTATATAAACTTCAAAATTTTACCTCTATTTTTATTTGAAAAAATATTAAAAACTTACCATCAGTTATATCAATTACCTAAGAAAAAAAAATATTTAAAATGTTTGGAAAAAACAATCATATGTTTTTATGACCGGATTTGAATATTCTTTTATTTTTGAAATAAATGGTATTTTACCAAATGACTCAAAAATTCCGACTGTAAAATAGCAGGTATTTTAAAATTTTTGTTCTTTATGTAATATTCTTTCCGTTTAGAATTAAGATAGGTCATACATACACATGCAGGGACATTTTATAAATAGATTGCTCTTGTTTACCTGCTAATAAAATATGAAAAAAGAGCACAGCAAAATTTTTGAAGCCCTCAATATAACATGTTTTAAATAGTTTTAAACTAATTATTTAAAAAAAAAATTATTGGAAGTAGGTACATACATATTTATTTTTAATAACTTAAAACTAACTGAATTTATTTGAAACAATTTTATAAGTAACGTATAAATAACCGAAATGAGATAATTCAAATTGTTGGAATGTGTCAACCTATATTACTTTTAATAACACTTTTGTTAGCCGACACCACTCAACTTACCTTATTGGGAAATACAAAATGTGCATAAAAAATCATACATCCTTCCTCATTAACATTTCAAACCATACTGAAATATGAATTTCAAATTTTTTTTCATTTTTTCTTTCCTCCTACCTTTCTTTCTTTTTCGTGCAATAGAATTTAAATGGGAAGCTTTTTAAAAAATGTGTATAATATCCTGAGATTTTTTTAAATATTAAACTCTTTTTTACTTAAAAAAAAGAAAAAAATAACAAAAAATATGACACGATCAGTGGCATTTAAAGAAAAAACCAGCAACGAAGCCAAAAATTCGTAATATTTCGTAAAAAAAATTGAGTATTGGGACTTGTTAGATACAAAGACATTAACAAGTATATATGTACATATGTTTGGTACTAATAAAATTCTGATGCAAATTCATCAAATGTGACTTGTGTACTAAAATTTGTAAATTTTTATTATTTTCATTTATAAGATAATAAAATCTTTTCTTTAAAATAGGTTTTATATTTGAAAAATAGTGTTCTAATATTTCTAATGAACAGTTATTAAAATGTATACTCGTAAGCATATTTTTAGATAAAGCTAAATTTCTATTGTCACAAGTTTAAATGAGTATAATATTTTTTGCAATTTTTTATTAAGTTGGTTTCTTCATCAATTTCAACAATTTTTTTGACATTATTATGTAGGTATAAGCTTACTATTATTTTTGAAAGTACAGTATTTGCTCAATTGTAATTCGTTTAATATTTTTAATTCTTTCTAATGGTAATTTAAGCTATTATATTCAAAGACCGTTTCTTGAACATAGGCAATTTCTTTACAAAATCTGGTGAAGGGATTATTAATATTAATTGGAACTTTTATAATTTTGCTACGAATTTTAATAGCAAGTAATAATGAATTTTCCTAAATTTAGCTACTCCGAATTTGAAATATTGTAATTTATAGAAATCTATATCATAATTTTGAATTTTTTGATTTGCTAAAATTTTAGGATGATGTCTGACTGAAGCTAAATTATCCTGCATTTGATTATTTTTTTTAATAATTTGGATTTTGAATTTTAATTCTATATAAAAATTTTACCGGTTAGTGGGTTCTTCTATTTTATTAAGATTTTCTAAAAGTAAAGATCGGCCTTTTTCTATAGCGTTTTATTTGATTAATTGTCCTATTAATATGATCATTTATTTTTACTTATAAATTGGAATTACGAGTTAATTTCTAGTTGTTATATTATGTTATAGTTTCTAAATGTTTTTCTATATTTTGTTACTCTGTGTCGTCTATTGTACCAAAAAGCCAGTTTGATTTGCTTCCTACAGCATTTATTAATCTACGTTTATTTCCTTTGTTTATAGGTGTAAAAGTATTACTTTTGATAATAAGTTGAGTGATTTCTGACTGTAGTATTGTTTTTACGAGTATTGTGAGTTCAAATTTTCTGTTGTTATAGAGATGTTGTAATGGTTTTGTGTGTTGATTATATGTATAATTATGCTTTTTTGGTAAATCTGAGTTATGTTAACGAAACCTTTTTCTGCTGTTTCAATTAAGCTAAACTAGATGTTATTAGAAATATGGCCCTCGTCAATGTTTTCCAAACATAAAAATTAGTTTGTTTTGGAGGTTGTTTAATATTAGAAATATCTATATTAGTAAGTTTAAATTTTTTTAAATTTTGGTTGTTTTTTGTGCCTAGTTGCTTTATAGTTTTTATATTTTTTACCAAAGAAAGAGATAAAAGACGCAAGAAAGACATGACTAATAAAGAAATTGACGATAATACAATACAAAAACATAAAGAAATTCGCGATAGCATAATGTAAATGATGCAAGACGTGCTGCAAAGAATTGACGAATTTTCAATGAGACTAACTACTGTGAAAAGTAAATACACTATCTAGCAACCCCTTAGCGATTTCTGAAAAATATCAGTAAATGAAATACGAATTGGTACGTGGAACGCTAAAGGCGTTCTAAGTAGAAAGCACGAATTGGAGGTTTTTCTTAGAGCTAAAAATATCGATGTATGTCTGTTGTCAGAAACGCACTTGGGGTAGGACTTGGATGTACTGGGTTACAGATGCTATAGGGCAACTTATCCTGGTAACTTAAATGGTTAGTTAGGAGGTAGTGCTATTTTATTTAGTAAAAATATAAAGCATGATGAGAAGTCCAAAATACAGACTGAGGAGGTTCAACATGTTGTGCTTAAAATTGAATCTACCATAGCTATATAAATAAATATTCTACCGGGATATAACATAAAAAGGATATTTTTAAGCATCTGCTATGCGCGGTTGAAAGTAGATTTTTACGGGAAGTGGACTATAATGCCAAACATGTGAATTGGGACTCTAGATTGACCTCAACTAGAGGTATAGACCTAAGGAAAGCCGATCGGGAGTTCGGATGTTCCTATCATTCTACTGGCAGGCCCACTTATTGGCCTACTAATGTTAACAAAGCCGCGGATCTTATTGACTTTTTTAAAAGAATTTCAAAAA